TAGTAATTAGTGAAATTGAGACACAAAAGCAACTACACAAAACAAAAATCTAAAGGATCAATGAATGAACTAACGTGTTGGTTCTGAGCCGGTGTGGTGGCACATGCCTGCAGTCCCAGGACTCGGGAGGCCAAGGCAGGAGGATCCTTGCAAGTTTGAGGCCAGACTGGGCTACATAGTGAGTTCAAGACCAGTCTGAACTACATAGTGAGCCTCGAGGGGAGACTCACTATGTAGTCTGAAAAAAAAAAAAAAAAGTGTTGGTTCTTTGAAATGATGGGGGGATCTGGATTAGGGGAGACAGGACAGGGGAAGTAATAAGGTGATGTGTATATCAATTTCCCCACACTGAATGTATTTACTATGTATTGAAAAAAAATACGGTTTTGAGAAAAAATATGGCCACAAGCTGGGTGCAGGAGAAGGGATGGACTTGGGGGGCCTTGGGTGGGCTCAGGCTCCGCAGACCTATCAGGCCCTCCTCCAAGGTGCATGTTTGTAATTGTGTGATCACCCAGTGAGGCCACCCTATACCATCCAGAAAAGCTCTTTTCGGGATGGAAGAGCTGGGACTTTCCTGGCTTTGGCAGCCTGTCTGGTGACTGTGGAGGACCATCACGGCTGAGGGTAGGTGTGCTCTACCCTGCCGACTTTCAAAGGTGATTCTGGGGGCTTCAGCTGATTGGGGGTTGGTAGGGGGCGATGGGTGTCTCTGGGCACCCCTGGGCCAGCGGGAGCTGTGGTCACCAGCAGCCTTGCTGTCGGCCACCCTTCCTGGCATCAGCTCTGGCGCCCACAGGGTGGCACAGTCTCCCCTGGATTCGTCGCCCAGGCTCTTCTCACAGGGAGGACCCCCGGCTAAGCTCGGGAGACGGGACACATGGAGCTGGCGGCAGTCTGGTGGTGCCCAGAACCTGACCCTGGGACGAGGCCTCCGCTGCCAGCGCTTCCTCGGGACTCGAGCTCAATGAATGCTGCAGTGGACGTGAGATGAAGGCTCATGTGGAGTCAAAGCTCAGCCCTGCCGCTGCGAACCCTGGAGGCGAGGGAGCACCGTCTGTACGAGCGGCCACTCTCCTCCCCGCTGGGGACAGACAGGCTCTCCCACACTTGGGTGGGAGGAGGGCTCCCAGGCAGGGACTACAGGGGCCACAGTGAGCAGAAGCGGGGGACAGTGGCTGTCCTGCCCGTGTTCGGGTGACACAGGCTGGCAGTGACCCCACCCACGTGCTGCGAGACCAGATTCTGCTGCGCGAGAGGGAGCCGCTCAGGTCAGGCTCGTGCCCAGCGCTCACCACCCCTCCAGACGCGGACTCTGTAAGGTGGGCAAGGGCGAGGTCTGGGGTGTGCAGTGACAGGTGCTGAGTCCGGGCGTGTGCAGCAGCATTTCTGCAGAGGGCCCTTTGTCCCCGGGTGGGGCAGTTCCAGGGGATCACGGGACCTCATGCTCCAGCCCAAGGGAGAATGAGCCAGCGGGGCACAGCCTGCACAGAAGGTGCCCATGGCTCCTCCGAGGCCTCGGCCCACCTTGGCATCAGGTGGGGGCCCCAGGCCTGGAAACCAGCGCAAGACAGTTATTGGCACAGGACACCAAGATTTAGGTGGTAAAAACTGATGCCCGAGAGGAGGGATTTTGCTGAGCTAAAAAAGAAAAATGACATCAAGTGCAGCCACCAGCTTCTCTGGAAGCCCCGACACTGGGCGTCTTTACTAAGTACCCGCAGGTGGTGCAGCTTGGCTTGGTGGTGGCGACACGGAGCACGTGGAAGCTGCTGAGCTGGGGCAGGTCGGAGGCGGGATGCAGCAGCTGCTCGTGAGGTCTTCCTCAAGTAAGCTTCTGGGAGCCACGAGGTTTGGAGAACGCTGTGTGGGCTGCAGACTTGCACCTTGCTCTTACCTTCTGGGATCCAGGGGGTCAGGGGGCAGCCCCAGGGCAGTCCGTCCATCGGGTGTACTCTTTCTGCAGACATGCCCACGACCTGGAAGTGGCCCCGGCCTCCAGGTACCAGCACTGCAACTGCCTGGAGCCCACACCCGCGCAGGCTTGGAGGCCAGGACGGCAGGCAGGGGGACCCACAGCCACCACTGTGAGCCACACTCAGGGGCTGGAGCTCCGGCAAAGGGAGGAGGGGATCTGAGCTGCACGTGACACCTTCACAGGCTCCAGCTCACAAGGGCCCTGCTGTCCTTCAGAGGAAGCACCCTCGGCCTCCCCACTTCCTGACAAGCGCAAGAGCAGCCCAGGCGCACACAAGGCTTGCGGACGCCCTGGAAAGATGACACCCCTGCCAGGGTCCTCGCTTTTCCCTTTTCACTCAGCGCCAGCAACTTCGGTGTCCTGCCGAGTCATCGGACGGTCAAGGCTCTGCTCCCTGATGTGAGCGTCTGAACGCGAGGCCACTGAAAGGCGCAGGGCGGGACCCGAGAGGCAGGCGGTGCGACTTGTACTGCATGAGATCCTCGTCTCTCTCCTGGGGGAAGGTGAGCGGAAACTGCACTGTCGTGTGCAAAATCGCGAACAGGCAAAAAGAGGTGTGTGCGAGAGAGGCGGTTCCATTTCATTCGTGACAAAACTTGTGCTCGTGCCTCCTGATGGGGCTGTTCACACTGGCACAGACGCTACTAAGACACTATGAGGGTGGACACTGCTGTTTCTCCAAAATTTTATTTTAATTTAAATTACAGGGCCAGCCAGATATCTGATAAGAAATTCATTTTTCCTTAGGAGAAAGGAAATGCTTTCATTAACAATTGTGTACATCTCCACTTTTTTCTTTAAAGGGTTAAAAAATCACATTGAGTAACTTCCTTCAGTAAAATGTAACCTTTGTAGCACAAAAAGAAACCACTTCCAGTATGACAGCTTTGGTAATATATTAAATAATTGTAATTTCAAATTCAACTTTCAAATTTGGAAGATTTTCATATTGCTTTGTTTAAAAACAAACCAGAAAGTCTTAAATTACCTTCAGCTTTCACTGTGCTGGTCACACACGGATGTTCGCTCTGACACACCGCACCCACCTTCCACGTGAGACTCTGGTGCCCCCACGGACAGCCCGAGCGGGAGCCACTTTGGTGCGAACAGTTCTGAGAGCCAGCTTGGCAGAGAAGCGTCTTCCACTCGGTGCGGCGGCTGTTCCCGCGCTGAAGCCTGACACAGCACTAGCGCACGGGACCCACAGCGCTCGCAGGGCGCATCTGCCTTCCTCACGGCTGAGGGCCTTCTCTTCGACGAGATCAGCTGCTTTCCCTACTTCCAGTAGAGAACACGAATTATTTCGCTTACGATTCGTGTAAAGACAGCCTCAGAAGAACCAATTACTGTGGACTGCCACTTAAATTACACAGACAAAACGTATCTGTGCGTTCTGGAGAGGTTTTCGTAACTGGTGTTCCTTGAAGATCTTAAAACCTACTGAAACATCAACTGGGAGGCTCATTTTACTGGCCAATAAATAATTCAATTAGTAAGATAGGCTAGCAAAGAATAGTTATATAAATTTCTTAATCAGCTACAGCCATGCTGAATTCGAACTGGCGAACTCTGATTCCTAAGTTGTTACTTGTGATCTTCGTATCACTAAGATGAACAGATGCCATTCTAACTACACAGATATAGTCTAGAAGACATTGTTCTGCTGTGGTCACAGTAACAAAAAAGTGGTGCAAAATCAGGTACTTTATAAATACTGATAATTTGCAGCATTAAAGAACAGGACATTAAAAAAAATAAATTTCCCCATAGGACACCTAGGACTAGGAACTCTTCCTAAGAGAAGCCAACATTTTAATCAATCGGTTTCACAACTAATGTACTGGATTATGTCCTCTAAGAAAGAAAAGGTGCTCTACGGAAGCCCCCCACCCGCCCCAAGAATCAGCATTAGTTTAGCATAATCGGTATCATCCATAGATCTGGCAAACTTGGGACTCACTTTGAATGAGTAAGGCCAATACGAGGCAGGAACGTGGGGCGGACCGAGTTCCAGGTCTGTGGTGCCACGTACTATGGGCACCCCACTGGGTAACTGAATACAAAGGACTGGTTTACTTTTTCTTTTAATGCTGTGATCCTTAAATGTTAAATCAGCATTTTCATGTGATCTGAAGTATTTCAATTACATATGAGCATTCTTTTTTTTTTTTTTGCAAAAACTCAGTATTAGGTAATAGTTACATACTACTACAATAACATTCCTCTGCTGTACAAATTAAACCTTTTAAAAGAAATGAGCATCCTAAGAATTATATACAAAAGAAACCTGTAAGCAGTGTTGAAATGAAATGCAAGGTGCCTTCGCTAGCTCTACTGTTTTAAAATACCTTCAAAAAGTAAAATTAACAAATACCCTTCAACATATCCAGGTTTACAAGTCTCAAGAAAATCAAAAGTCAAAGTTCTAGAAAGCTGTGAAAAGCATATATACATGTTCCTTATGATCTCATTAAGCTTCACACCTTTGAGAAACTGCTAAGTTTCGGTATCAATTTATTCGCATGTCAACTTTCTATCCACCCCAAAAGCTCGCATCTCAAGGCAGCGTTCCCCTCTGGCGTCCAGTACAGCTCTGCGCATGCGCTGTTCCTCTGGCGAGGGCAGAGGCTCAGACGAGAAAGCCAGGCGTGCACGCCGCAGGTCTTCACCGAAGGAGTGAAGCACACAGGTCTGAGCCGGTCCTATCCACGCCCTCCTCCCCGACTGCGCTCGCCCTTCCATCCCTCCACACGCCCCCACGGTCAGAACTCCCCAGCAAGCCGAGTCCTTCAATTTGGAAATGACACAAAGACCAAGAGGAAGCCCTGTGTGCTCTGGTGTGCAAGCGGCAGCAGCTACTTTCTCCAGCCTGGACTGAAAAACAAAATGGTAAAATGAAAAACCGTTCACGTAACAGCAGATTAGCAGTAATGTTCCTCATGAATTGATAAGAGTGCCTGATGCTGAATAGCTAACAGCAAATGCTGAATTTGGGTTTAATATTTTAGATGTTTATTGGAAATTAAGCTTCTTGCTGAGCTGGTCTCTTCAAATCCCTGATCTGTTTAACTAGATAGGTCTTCTCGTCGTTGAACTGCTCGTCCTCGGCCCTGTCGTTCTGGAACTTGCTGAGGAACTCGATGAGCTTGGCCTGGTTCTTGAGGAGGATGTCCAGCACGGGCTGCGTCTTGCTGGGGTTGGCCACGAACACCTGCGCGGGAGAAAGCCAGAGCCGTCACAGGGCGCCTTGCGGGCGGGGTCGCAGGGAGCCAGCGAAGGCTCGGGGCGCTGGCTTTCGAAGAGCTCACTTTACACAATACGGAGGACACGCGGTATGTTTTAACCCTGAGGACTGCCGGTGCACCCTGCCAGCTTGACATACACTGGGGTTGTGCTAACTGCACACTCTGGTATCAGAGTAAAATGGGAAGGACTTATGTCTGGTCACAGCAAGTCTGACTGGATTTTAAGAACGAAAACTTCTCCGGAAAGCTTTAAGAAAGGGTTTTCCTCAGTGACGAACAATGTTCCAGTCACAGGAAAATGACACTCCATGCACGCCTGCTCCCAACCCCAGCAGTACACGTCCCTTCCAAGCCTGCCTTTCTGTCTAAATGTTGTACCACACAAATACGCCAAGGGGCCCAACCGTTCTGGAGGGCGATACTGCTGACGATCTGTGCACTCTACCTTGAAAACGTGAAAGGCTTCAAACTGGATGTTGCGACTTTTGTCTCGCAGAAGGTTCATCATTAATTTCAGGTTCTCAGGTTTACTGATGTATTTCGTCATAATTGTGAAGTTGTGTCTATCTAACAGTAGTTCACCGAGAAGCTGAGAAGATATTTAAACAATTACATTACTATTAAGATTTAAAGCAAACTCAAAGCTGAAAAATCATTATTAAACATAGAAGATTAGCAGGCAACCCAAAAAGTGTGACAACTGGGCTGAACCCCGACGGGCCAGGGGTGGAGCGCCGCCCTCTGCTCCGGGCACCTCCCGGCCTGGGTACGCTACGTGTCAGGCCGGCGGCCGGCATGCTGCTGCTCGCTCAAGCACACACAGGGCACACCTGGCCGCCCATCGGACTGTTCAGCCTACGCCTGAACACGAAGCAGCTCCCCGAGAAAACAGGCAAGGGAAAAGCTACTGGTAATTCCTGTTAACTAACCTTAACTTCATTTAAAAAATTTCATTTGTTTTAAATTGTACTCAGCGGACATTAAGGGATTAAGGGTTTCATAACCACTTTTCCATACCCTGACCCCCTTACACGCCAAAGGCATCATTTTAACATGCACAACGGCCTACAGAAGCTGCACGCCTTTCTTCTTTAAGCACAGTCTCCCACAGATAAACCCCATCACCACTCATGGTATCAGTAAGATGAAATCCTATATTTTGGGGCTGATTCAATTATGTAGAGCTGATTATATATATCACAGAAGCCTATAGTGTTTAAGTTGCTACTGTGTTTTTTTTTTTTTGAGGCAGGGTCTTGCTATGTCGTTTATTTTTATTTCTTTTACTTAAAATGTTACTATATTTAATAGTATGGGATTTTTTTTTTTTTAAGACAGGGTCTCGCTATGCAGTTCAGGCTGGCCTTGAGCTCACTTTGTAGTCCAGGCTGGTCTCGAATTGTCAACAATTTTTATTTCTTTTACTTAAAATGTTACTATATTTAATAGTATGGGATTTTTTTTTTTTTAAGACAGGGTCTCGCTATGCAGTTCAGGCTGGCC